AGAAAATACCTCAGTTCTGAGAAAAAATACAAAAACTGCAATGTAAGTTGAGTATACTAATATATAAAACCTAAGAATTTGGTTTTTGGTCATCTGAACGCGGGCGGAGCCGCGGGCAATGCTAGTTTTAATATAATTTTAAGACGAGTTAATAAACGAACGTCTTGAACACTATGAGTAATATTGATTACGGTAAGGATTTGCCCTATAAAGTAATTGGGCCCTTATGATGAGCCTTATATTGCTATTGACCCTTTTAACGTATGTTAATTGTTTTACTCGAGCGCCTTCAGTATAGTACAAGTATATAATATTATATTATAATATACGCTATTTATAAATAGTGTTACTTATATATAGAGTTGGTCCAATATTACATATGATCAAACGAACTTCTCAAGTGAAGCTTGATCAATATAATATGAGTGGTTAAACCACTAAATATTATTATAATCTATACATATAATAAAATTCTGAGTCTAATCTGTACATTAAATATTATTTGGGAAATCTTATTGAAACAGTCTTTAATATCATTTACAGAGATCGAATCTATAGTTTTTAGAATGTTTGTCTGTCTGTCTATCTGTCTGTCTGGGAACGCATCACGAGAAAACCACTCGACAGATTTTGATAAAATTTGGGATGATGACAGCTGGTTATCCGGGTCAACATATTTGATACTTTTTACGCTGGAAAATGTCTCATCTCTGAGAAATCTTTACTAAACGTTAAAACGTAAGTAGGGACGAACCCGAGCGGAGCGAGGGTGAATCACTAGTTAGAATAAATAAAGCGCAAACGACTAATAAAAAATATCTGTTCCACCAATATTTGAAACGGTTATGCTAATTTTACAAGGAATATTACTGATTGAGAGTAAAATAAATTATTTTATATCACCGTAGTATGGTAAGTGGTACAACGGGCAAAAGCTAGTCTATATATATAATAAAATTCTGAGTCTAATCTGTACATTAAATATTTTTTGGGAAATCTTATTGAAACAGTCTTTAATATCATTTACAGAGATCTAATCTATAGTTTTTAGAATTTTTGTCTGTCTATCTGTCTGGGAACGCATCACCAGAAAACAACTGGACAGATTTTGATGAAATTTGGTATGATGATAGCGGGTTATCCGAGTTAACGTATAGGATTGAGGATCTTACTGCGGGTATCTCATCTCTGAGAAATCTATATTAACCGTTAAAACGTATCTAAAGTCTGATTTTTAATTCCACGGAAATAACACGGCTATCATTTTTCAACCGACTTCAAAAAGGAGGAGGTTCTCAATTCGACTGTATGTTTTTTTTTTGACAATTCATATATCATAAACTTTTCTGCTTTGTATTTTTTTAATAAAAAATAACAAAAAAAAAAGAAACAGAATAGGATAAAGTAAACTATATGTATGACATTGTAAATAGTCATTGTTTTGTGCATTCAATGCACACTATCTATAATGTAAATGTTTAATGGTTAAATGAAAAAAACAGACCTATCATATAATCATTATTACTTATATCATCATTGTCGTCATCACCATCCACTCAGATTATAAAAGAATCACACACATCAGATCATTAAGAGGGCAAATTTTATCCTCTTCTTTAATAATATGGTTTATGCATTCTTGCCTAAAATAATAATAATAAATCGTGAACGATCGTTGTGGACCTGTCTTTTTGGGACTTTCCAATTCTTTTTCCAACTGCAAAGATTTCACAAACAAAGGGTTTTCCTAAAAAAGGCTTGCAATCTATGTATAATTGAACGGGGATTCCTGTAATAGAAAAATAATTTCCTTAATAATTATTGTAACTTCAATAATATGATAATAAAAAAAAATTAACATTTTAGAGTTATCAAAAAAAAATAAGTCTTAGTTTTTCTAATTAAAACGTTAAATTCAAGAAAGGTTTTTTTTTTGCCAAAATGCTTTCCGTTTTTAGTGACAATGTTTCAAAGCTGACAACACTTCTGAAATGTCAGAATTCCGTCGAATTAAAAATCTGACTTTAGGGACGAACTCAAGCAGAGCGAGGGTGAGTTGCTAGTTTATAAATAAAATTAGGTAAGCAAGTTGTTGATTACAAAACAAAAACAACTGAACTCCAGTTTTTTTGAGAATATTCCCGTCAGAATAATATGACAAATTGTCACAATGATAATTTTGTATGGTACAAGGTATTAGATAATGTATCTACTAAGTGTCGATATATTTTAAAACTGTCCAGTCATTTTAGTATGTATGTATGTATTAAGCCCTTTTTAACGTCCCACTGCTGGGCGCTACTTTTTTACCAAATAATAAATAATATAATTATAATATAACATTGATTTTAATTAATTATGAATAAACCTTAATTTTTAAATCCTTAGACCATTGTTTTTTTTTATTGAAAGATAGGCTTGCGCTTGACTACAATCAGCGCTGGGATGCACTGATGAGGTCTAGGTTGGAGCGCGCTTGCCTAGAAAAATATCTGTTCACTCTAGCCTTGAAGGTACTTCGATTGTAGGTGGCAGGAGACACGGATGCTGGATGTTTAATCATTTTTTTTAATGCGAAAAAAAAATCTATTTACACAAGCATCGTTTACTTTCATACCTTATACCGTTGGATGGGAAATGTGGGCCGCAGTAAAACAACTTTGATTGATGATTCGGCTTCCTGTCCGCTAAAGCTGATTTTTGTGAAGCGGAATTTTTCGTGCTAGTGAGAAATGTTAGATATTATGCGCAAATGAGGTTATTACATTACATAATTGGTTTTGCAATTAAGAAATTTTAGGAAAGTCATATTTTAGTGGAAAAATTTATTAAAAATGTCGGTTTTGTGAAAATTTTTACATATTAAAGTTACTTTCTTGAGCTTTTTGATGTTAATTAAAAATTTGATTTGTTCAAAAAGGATATTTTAATACAAATATAAACAATCATATATTTTTTTATATAATACTAGCGACTCACCCCCGCTCCGCTCGGGTTTGTCCTTGGTTACGTTTTAACGTTTAGCACATATTTTTAAGAGACGACATATTTTACCGCCGTAAAAAGTATTCTAAATGTTGACTCGGATAACCAGTTATCATCATATCAAATTTCATCAAAATCCGTCCAAAATACTATAGATTCGGCCTCTGTATCGATAATAATGACTATTTCAATAAGATTTTCCAAAAAAATTAATGTACAGATTCGACTCAGTTAGTATTTTATTATATGTATAGATTTTCCATGTCTAAGTGACATTTCCGAAAGATCAGACAAAGTGAAATGACAAAGAAACCCTTCATCTTCGTAGAAAGCAAAATTTTCAATGTACATAAAATATATGAATAAACTATAACGCTACGCTTCCTTGAATATTAGGGTTAAAGAAATTCAATAAATAACTATTGTATCTAAAATATACCTGGGTTTTGTATGTTTAGAATAAGAAAATATGAACACAGTATAAAAAATAAAACTGTTTTATCAATTATACTCTTAAATGTATGCAATTGCCCCTATATAAGTTGAACATTTTCACGTAAAATTATTTTTGATACATATATTTTGATTTTATTCATATTTAGCCCTTTTTAACGTTCCACTGCTAGGCATGGACTTCCGTTCAACAAAATGGGATCAGGTCATAGTCCACCATCCTAGCCAAGTTGGTTGGCGGACTTCTGATGCCTTTCGAAAACTTGCTAGGTTCTCTCAGACATGCAGTTTTCTCCACGATGTTTATCTTCATCTTTACATAGTATAAAATGAAGTCGCTTCCGTATTCTGTTCGCTTAGATCTTTTTAACTACTCAACGAATTTTAATGCAATTTTCAGCAATAGATAGAGTGATTCAAGAGGAATATTTATATGTATAATACATGCATATTATAGTACAGAAAAGCCCAGAAAAAAGATTTGCATTACATACTAACCGTTAAAACGTATCGAGTCGCTAGTTGTAAAACAAGTGTTAATCTTGTAGGACATGATTCGTGTATGAGAGGTGTGATTTGTACCCGTTTCACTTGGTTTCCCAAGCGAGCACGTTACCACTGGACTACCACTGCCTGTCATATTTATTTTAATTGTTTTTGGTCAATTACAAACATTGAGTTAGTTATACTCATATTAGATGTATTCTTGTATGTACGCGATACAGTTGATGACAGATAATTGTTGGCGCAGACGCCAATGAAGAAATTTTTTATCATTTTAATTGTACCTTGTTGTACTTGTAATACAATTATAGTATAATTTTGTAGGTAGTTACCTTTTTTTAACGTTGAGAAATGCATTTAGACATACCACCTGCATATATAAAGGTGGTTATGTGGGACTCAACGGCTCTAAAAGCCATTACGGCACACTAAAACCCAACGGATATATACTGTCTGTAACAACTTAGTCTCCCCCGTGATCATGTTTGCTGTAAAGCATTGAAAACATCGGGATCAAAATATAAAATAAAACGACTTACCCCGAATGTTTCATTTAAAATTTCAAATATTTGAGTAAATCTAAGAAGTTTTATTTAATGAATCATTTAGAAATTAAACTTACTTATACTTTGAGTTTTTTCATTAAAAATGCCTTAGTCCTTTATGTCATAAATAATTTTATTTAATACTAGCGAATCACCCTCCATTCGCTCGGGTTCGTCCCTAGCTCGGCCTCCATACAAATTTTCATCCCCATTTTCACCCCCTTAAGGGATGATTTCCAGGACAAAAAGTATCCTATGTCCTTCCCTAGTAATACTAATCCTAAATAATCCTTAAACCTAAAAAAATACCGCTATCTCTGTATGTTTGTTTAAAAGCAGTTCTTTTTAACTGTTAAACGAATTTTGATACAGTTTTCACTATTATATAGAAAATTTCTTGGCAATGTTTATATCTATAAAGCATTTATACTATGTATATTTATAGAAAGTAAAGAATAAGTAATAAAAAACTAGGTACATAAGGTTTAATTAAATATTTTGCCTTCTTTCCAGGTGATATCGGCGATGTCGGTTTTCTTCATCTGCATATCAGTTCTTTGCTTCTGCTTGAAAACCCATCCTGACCTTCGAGTGTTCTACCCATTGCCACTAGAAAGCTATATAGAGAACACTACCACGGTCATCGAAGCTAAGCCTTGGCACGATAACGGCCAGCCTCACGTGGCCTTCTTCTATATAGAGCTGGTATGCAACGTGTGGTTCACCATAGAATTGCTGGTGAGATCTGTGGTAAGTGGTATTTTGTTTATTTTTTATGTTATATTATTAAACACCAAATTTAAAAATATGGTATTTAGAAGTAAATTATGTTATGTTATTAGCTACATTTATAACCAGTAATAGGCTTTAACGAATATACAACCGAAACATAAAAAATACGCCGATAATACTAATAATTCTAATATTAACTAAGTCTATGTATATATTTGCTTTCTTCAGTTTAATCGGACTATAATTATAAATACAAAAGTTTATAAATATGTGTGTTTATTTGTTACTCCTACACGCTAAAACTGCTGACGGATTTATACATAACTCAGTACATGAATGGACTATGATCTGAACCATATTGGCTAATACTAGACACCCGGAGACGTATCCAAGCGAAGCAGGGATGAGTCCCTAGATGAGAATATAGTAATATACATAATATAACATATTAAACAAATATTTTATATTTATAGTAGGTATTAGTATAACTAAAGGAAATAATTACTGATAAAATCAACCTTTGATCTCTAAAGTTCTATAGCTTTACCAAACCATACCAAATGTACCAAATATTATATGTATAATGTATTTTTCGGCGATGATGTTTCGAAAATCAGCGAATAGTACACATTGTCGCCTCCTAAATTCAAAGAGATATATTCTTTTAGCGTTTAAAATACAAGGTCTTTAAAAACATTCCCAAAATTTTCAAAATTCGTCTGGTATCCGTAAATTGATTTAAAACCCAATTCGATTACTTTAAGGTACATATTCCTTTAGCATTTACTTTCAATAATTTTGTTACGGGATAGTCTAACGCTACCCAGCTCTTTAAGAAATCCGACACCAATTCGTTTGCTTCAAATGCTTGCAAATTTACTCGCTTGTACATAAATGAAAAACGTGTATTTATAACGTGCTATTTAATTGTATTTTTTTAGATTTACGCGAATATTTTACGTTTTAAAACCGCAAAAAAAACCGAAATCATAATTTCATTTAGAATGCCATTTAAATGTGTTCACATTTATTTTTAATGTTAAACATTTTCACGGGAAAGAAATAATATTATGTGTTTATTGTAAAGCATACGTAGCGTTGGGTAACATACACTCAAAAATATTGCATAACATACACTCAAAAATATTGCATTACATACACTCAAAAATATTGCATAACATACACTTAAAAATATTGCATAACGTACAGTCATAAATTTTGCATAAAATAAACTCAAAAATATTGCATAATATACACACAAAAATATTGCATAATATACACTCAAAAATATTGCATAAAATACACTCAAAAAATGCTGAATTGAATACCTCCTATTTGAATTCGGATAACAAACAACTTTTTCTATACGTAAGGTGTTGCTACACTCTAAAAGCACGTTTGTGGACTACGTGTAACCCCATTTCTGTTTGAAATAATACAAATAATAACGAAAATGATCAACAAATACCTACATACAATTACTATGAAAATATTAAAAATTAAATTATAAAATTAAAAAAACCGGACTGCGCCAAAAGCGAACTAAAAAGATGAAAACAAGTTTACGAACGCACATAGTATTTCATATTGTGCAGTCGGAGACGAAATATACATACACTACGTAGCAGAACTCGCAGTAAGTATATAACATGTACACAAACAGATCGAACACATAACCCTCATTTGCGCTTCGCTGTAGTCGGGTAAAATATGTACCGTATACATTTCAACACATCTATACATATGTATAATAAAATTGTAACTAAACCGAATCTGTACATTAAATATTTTTTGGAAAATCTTATTGAAATAAACATTATTATCGATACAGAGGCCGAATCTATAGTTTTTAGAATTTTTGTCTGTCTGTCTATCTGTTACCGCATCACAGAAAAACCGCTGGAGGAATTTTGATGAAATTTAGTATGGTGGTAGCTGGTTATCCGGGTCAACATATAGGATACTTTTTACCGCGGGAAAATATCTCATTTCTGAGAAAAATACAAAAACTGCAATGTAAGAGTATACTAATATGTAAAACCTAAGAATTTGGTTTTTGGTCATCTGAACGCGGGCGGAGCCGCGGGCAATGCTAGTGTATATATAAATATCGTATAAACGTATGAAATATAGTTTTAATATAAAGAAACAAACAATACATTAGCGCACTTTCTGATACTTTAAAGACTGTTTAATTTTATGACTTTTCATTTTATTGAGAGTGCACGACGAAAGATCAAGTATCAACTCTAACACGTTCAATTACCTGCATCGAGTGTCAGGACTCAACGTGATCCGGATGCGAATTGAACTTTAGTGAAGGGATGTTACTATATTCATTTCTTGTAACTTGAAAATTTGTTTAAAACCTAAAAAATTGCTTAAAAATATGTATACCTAATAATTCTACGCTTCGCTTTACGGTACATTATGTGCTCTCCAGGTCATATTCAAATTGTATACTAATCCTTACTAACTAAAACAATAATCCAAATCCAAATAACTTCATCCAAATCTGTCTAGCCGTTTCAGTGTGAATGTAACAAACACACAAACTTTCACATTTATAATTGTATTCAGCCTTTTTTAACGTCCCACTGCTGGGCACGAGCCTCCCTTCAATACGAGAGGGATCAGGCCATAGTCCACCACGCTGGCCAAGTGCGGGTTGGCGGACTTCACATGTCTTTCGAAAACTTGCTAAGGTACTTTCGCACATGCAGGTTTCCTCACGACATTTTTCTTCACCGTAAGACAAGTGATAATCTTGTTGGAAATGATTCGCACATAAAAATATCAGAGGTGCGAGACTCGAGAGGCATTTGAACCTACGTCACTCGTTGTCCCAAGCGAGTGCGTTACCACTGTAGTATAGTGTAGTTATGATAAACACATTTCACAAATGGCGACACGTTTGGCTCAGTTTGTAGTGCCCCTACTTGCTGTGCCAACGATCTCGGGTTCAAGTCCCGCTGGGGGTATTGATTTGCGTGATAAGCACGAATGCTTGCACTCCATTCATAGGTGTTTATATTTATAATATGTATGTACTTAAAGTTATATATGTATTGTGTATCAACTATATAGTCTCCATAACACAAGCCTCGTAGCTTACTATGAAACTAGATGGTGCTGTGTGTTAATGTTCCAACATATTTATTTATTAATTCGCCTAAATGTAGTTATTTAGTATTTCTTATGTTTATTGAGTTGGCTATAAAGAAATAACTATGGAAAACGACAGCTGCGTCTAATAGGCTATGCCTCGGTACGACGTACAGTTTGTGTATAATTAGAAATAATATCCTACAAGCATTTGAGATTGGATTATGAAATATAATTCGTTTTCTAATTGTAAAGAGAAAATATTATTTTAGTTTAAGGCCCGACTATTTTTGACTTTGACATTAATTTTGGGGGACTCCGTCTTCATAATTATTTAGTCTAATATTCAAATGTAGAGTAATCTATACTAATATTTCAAAGAGGTAAAGTTTGTGAGATTGTGAGTTTGTGACGTTGTAGGGGATAATCTCTGGATCTACTGAACCGATTTAGATGAAATTTACTAAGAAGACAGTTTGAGAGCCTGGGAAGGACATAGGATATCCTGGAAATCATCCTTTAGGGGGGTGAAAATGGGGATGAAAGTTTGTATGGGGAATCAACCTAGGGACGAACCCGAGCGAAGTGAGGGTGAGTCGCTATTAATATATATCGCGTATTAAATATGACGCCTGAAGTAATATTTGTACATCAGCTAAGCTTTCATACATTAAGCTCTAAATACTTATGCCAAGTGTACGAAACTTATGCGGTGGTATATGTGCTTTTGTTAAAGCTTCCGGTAACTTTCGCGATTTTCTCTTTTGCTGGAAAAATTGTGTTGTAAATCAATTATTTTGCTTGTGTATAGAGATATGTTTGTTTTTATGATGATGTTGTTTTAAATATGTTGTTTACATACCTTGAAAGTTCATGTAGGTAGAAATGTATATGTACATATGTATGTTTGTATGTACATGTTTTCAAATTATATTTTACAACTTATGGATGCGATTCTTATGTACTATTTGCTTGGTAATAGCTATACTGACAATTATCTATATTGAGTAAAAATCAATTTTTAGTATATGTATAGTATAAGAATAAACCAACAAAATTAATGTTATTCTGAAAAAGCGTGAGGTACTTTGTACAATATTTTTATACTAACTCTATTTTTTAAATAAAATCATTAAAAATTCAAATAAATATAATTCAAATAATAAAAAATTAAAATATTCGTGTAAATCTAAGAAAGTATTATACTAACTCTACTTGTAGAAATCGTATCAATAAAATATTTATAACATCTGATATCGAGCACCTCGCGCTTTTTTCGCACTATCATTAATTTTTTCGTTAATCACTTTATTTATAAACTAAAAATTATTTATCACTGTTTAGTTCGGTTCATAATTAAAGAGTGTTTTTTTTAGTTTTTTAAACTATGTATGTGTATGTATGTATTCAGCCCTTTTTAACGTCCCACTGCTGGGCACGGGCCTCCCTTCAGCACGAGGGGAATCAGGCCATAGTCCACCACGCTGGCCAAGTGCGGGTTGGCGGACTTCACATGTCTTTTGAAAACTTGCTAGATTCTCTCAGACATGCAGGTTTCCTCACCATGTTTCCCTTCACCGTTAAGACAAGTGGTAATCATTTTGGAAATGATTCGCACATGAGAATATCAGAGGTGCGAGACCCGGGATTTGAACTCACTTCATTTGGTTTCCCAAGCGAGCGCGTTACCACTGGGCTACTACTGCCTTACCTTTTTAAACTATAATTTATTTAAAAGCGATATATCCAAGTGTGATATTTTAAAATAGCCATATTATAAGTTTACCAACTTCCCAGTCAAAAAAAAAACGAATATAACACAATCTGAACGAGGCATAAGCAAAGCTTGCTCGTTCACTTCGCTCGTAGTCCACTCAAGTTAAGTGTTGACCCGTTTTCTATCTCTTATTGAG